ATCTTACTGGCTCAATAAGTTTTTTTATTGGACTAGTTCTGTGGCATTTTGTTTGTTTTGAGGTAGGATCTCCCTGTAGTCCCAGCTGGCCTGTAATTCTATTTAGACTGGCCTCCATCTCACAGAGAACAGTCTGCCTCTGCCTCCCAAGGGCTGGAATTGAAGGCATGTGCCACCATGCCCAGATTTCTGTGTCATTTTTTGATGGTTCCCCTCTCATTATATAGCCTGTTTGTTAAAGCTTCTCATAATTCTGTGGGCTCTCCAACATTTTCTTTTTTTATTTAAAATAAACCAAGGTTTCTCTTGCACATAGTTAAAATCCTCCACTGATATGCTTAGCTTTCCTTAGCAGATTGTGATGGTGTGAGGGGCCTCAGGCTCATCAGTATTTCCCCACAGCCTAGCATCTCAATACATACCCAGTTGAGGCCTGCACATTAAATTGGCACTAAGTGTATTTTTCTTCTTTATTTTTAATAGATGATAGGTCTGTACCTTTGATCTTAACTTCCTTGCCTACCCCAGTAATTTTCTTTTGTCTTCATTATCAACTCAAATTGCTTTTGGTAATATTACTAAGGATATCCTGTCTACCAAACTTAGTAAGTTCTTTTCACTTTTTAACTTGACTAACATTTTTAATACTTTGACCACAATATTCCTTTCTTGGTGTCATTTTATCATTCTGATGGTTCTTTCAGGTTTTCAAAACTATTCCTACTTATCTAGCAGCTCCTACATCCTTCTGTTGCCCCCAGAATTCTTTCTTGAATGTACCCACTCCTATAGCTTCAGTTATTTTCAAACTTAACTTCCACCGAGGACTCTCACTTAAGTTTCAAACCATTATGTCCAACTGCCTATTCAATGTATGCATCATGATATTCTACAAAACTCTCAAACTCCCGTGCTCTGCATGTCTAAAAATTAAATGAATTTTTCTGTCCTTTCCCAAAACAGAGATATCATGTGTCTGGCTATTACTCATTGGTTTAATCTAATTCTCAGCTGTAGCTGAAATTAAATTAACATGCATGGGTAAAGTATCAGTTAAAATTTATTATCAGGTGTTTTCTCATTCTTCAATCTAGGATTTATGATTTTCTCTTAAGTGTTTAATTAAGGCTGTTTATAAGTTCCAAAATTCTATTTAGTGCCAAGACAAGAATGTAGACATGAATTATAATAATATGTATCAATAAGTATTAACATGTTCGATAAAACTGAATTCAGATCTGCATTATTCTGTTTAATTGTTTTAATTACATGTGGACAATTTTAATTTCTGTTTGACTTAATAGAATTTTTAGTCTCTGAAAATAGAATGAATATTTTAGCTTTTAGAAAAATACAAAAACACTTTACAAAGATAGGAATACTATAATTGATAGTCAAACTAAATCATATTTCTTTCTTTTATAATAATTTCATCTATAATCTCACTTATTCACATTGACATTGTCAATTAAGTATTTTGAAAGTTATGCCAATAATTTGCTTTAATCAAATTTGTATCCTGCCTGAATTCTGTAAACAGCAGGTCAGGGCAATTTTGTTAGAGACTCTCCAACAGTTTGGTTACTTACAACAGATAAACATCTTCACCATTGGGGGGTTATTAAGCTGCATCAACAAATAAAAATTGTTTGTTGATGTTGCAAACATTTAAATATAGAAATTGAGAAAACAATTAAAATTTGCAGAGTAGGTTTAAAAATTTTAATTACCCCCCAGGAAATAGCTGATACATAAAAACGTGTTAGTGCGGTTTTGTTCATTTCAAGCCTTCAAGCTTAATTAAATTTTTTTTTCAAGCATTTAATTTATGGAAGAACCATGGTTTCTTTTGGGTATTTTAATTTTGTTTAATGTCTTTTTGTTAAAAGGTACATAAAAAGAAAATTTTCCCTTTATAATGATTTCTTTCAACTCTTAAGGTATTTTAAGATTTCCCTTTGTTGACATATTTATTTAGAGCTTTGTGTCTTGAATGCTTGGATTATATTAAAGCCAATGGATTTGTTTCTAACTAATTATTCTTTTCTATTGGACAGCTGCCTGAATATTTAGAGATGTTGAATAAAGCCAAGGTTTTCATTCCTGCATCCTGTGATATTGAATGTGGTTCTGTAGTTACATACTGTTGCTTGTGCATCACTGGGAAACCAAAATGCCTTTTGGTCCCACTTGCTCCTAAGTTTATCATTTCCTTTTGTAGAGTTACTAATTCCAAATTTAAGTAAAAAAGAATGAGTGAGAGTAAAATCAGTATTTAGAGCTAAAGTGTTGCTACGTAAGTTGCTAGTGCTGGTAAAATTCTTATTCTTGTTAGTTAGCCATATGACAGATCTTGGGTTTTATGATTTTTTAAAATAATGTTTTGGAATTTTAGAATACTAGCTACAAGTTGAAGAGAACTTTTGCAATTGCTTAATATTATTCATGTAATAATAAATAGGAATGCAGACTGCTTCTCAGATATCTTGCTCATTATCTCTTGAGACTAAATTGAAGCAAAAGAATCATCACAAGGAAGGCTAACTCTGGGGATGTTGGCTTCGTTTTGAATTAGATGTGCTTAGGTGCAAGCTCCCATTCCTGCTAACTCTGAAAGTATGTCATGTCTACTGGTAGAACTAAATGTTTTATCTAAGTGGATGATGCAATATATACTTACCTGACTTGATTATTTTTAATTACTTAAAATGTTACTAAATATAAATCCATTTTTTTCTAGATCTATATGAAGAGGCAAGTCATGGAAACACAATAATTGTTTAAATATTTCTCTTCCTTTTCCAGTACTCAGAAATCTTTCCACATTTAGTACACAAAAAATTTACATGTTGGAATAGTAATTGTTGCTATAAATTTCTAACTTCTATTTAAAGGACTGTTTAAAGCCTGAAGGGAAAAAGCTTAAAAAAATAATGTTATATTTTAATAATTATATGCATGTTTGACAGATTTTTTAAAATATTCATAGAGAGGTAAAATGATTCACTTTTTAGAATGATTTAAAACTTTATTTTTATATAAAACTATTTTAAAGTATCAGAAATAGGGAATGATGATGCTATATAGAAGCTGGAAGAGCAAAAGGCTGCAATTGGATGAGAACTGTGTACTGTGGAAGCACGACTAATCCCAGAAAAGTCCTGGTGATTGCTGTGGTTGTGTGCATATTGACACTGTAATCCTGGCATTTCTGGTAGGTGGCAGCCAAGTAGCATGAAAGCTGGAGCAAATATTTGTGGTGAGAAAACTGCAGGGTGAGGGTGACTGTCAGCAGGAAATTGGGAGCCTTTTTCCTTTTCTGCTGGTTTTGCATTCTACCTCACTAATGTATTCTGTCTTGATGTGGATTTCTGAAAGTGAAAGTAAATGCTTGGAAGATGACTATGTGCTCCCTGCTTTCATGATGGGAGAATCTGGAACGGTACTGCCCCTCTGCCCCCAGATCTAAAGCTCTTTGTTCTAAGTAGAATGTCACCTGGCATGGTCAAAAGTATGAGCCTGGCTTATGAATGCCTATTATAGGAAGAAAGTTTAATTTAGAAGCCAGTGTTACATTGGAAAGACAAAGACTGACAATGGCCTTTAGATGTATGGATTTTAAGGACTGATTGGTTACATGTGCATATGAAACCTATACCTCTCACTACACCATTGTGTATGTATGGAGTCTAGTCCCTCACAGCCTAGCTACTCTAAGATTAGGGCAAGCCTAGCAAAGGACTCACTTTCTCTTCTCTATCTGTTTAGGAATTTGATATTTGCTTCAAATCCTAAGTGTATTTCTTTCTCTGCTTCCTTTTGCTTTTTTATTCCTTCTGTGATGAAGTATTAGTAATGTGAAACAGCCTACAACAGGTAGTAGATTCTATAAAAATTGATGATGTCCTAATAAGATTATTTTGAAATAGCACATTTTCATACTAATGTTGTATTGACAGTTTATATTAGGGCATAATAAATGTATTAGATAAAAGAGTTAAGCAGAAGAGTCTTTTCTATAGAAAGTTATAATCTAAATAAAAGATCGTCATAGAAATTTTGCACTAAAATCTAATTAAATAGTTTGGGTTTGTGTTTTCTATGGGCAGGCTGATAATTTGAAATAAGTCCACTTTGGCTAAATCATGTCACTTGGTAGGTTTTCTTTTTTTTTTTTTAAGACTACAGTCGAAATATGATTTTTTGTGTAATTTCAGAAAAAGCAATACTATCTGTAGGTTTTTAAATGCTATATAGTCAACTTGTTTCAGTTTGCGAGAGCCAGTTGTTAAATTTTCAGGGATTTTGTGAAACAGTTGTTGGAAATAGGCATTCTTGGGCTGGAGAGTTGGCTCAGCAGTTGAGCACTTGCTATATAAGCATAAGGACTGGAGTTTGGATCCTAGCACCCACATAACAAGCTAGGCATCCCACAAGACATTTATTAATTCCAGCTCCAAGAGATCCAGCACCCTCTTCTTGCCTTCAAATGTGCGTAGACACGTAACATTGCACACAAATGCACACATACAGTCTCTCTCACACACATATACTTAAACACACAGGCACACAGTCACACACACACACACACAAATAAAAATGAATCTTTTAAAAAGTAGTCATTCTTGCTGGGCGTGGTGGTGTATGCCTTTAATCCCAGCACTCACGAGGCAAAGGCAGGAGGATCTCTGTGAGTTCAAGGCCAGCCTGGTCTAGATAGTGAGTTCCAGGACAGCTGGGGATACAGGGAGACCCTGTCTCAAAAGGACCAGAAAAAATATATATATAGGCATTCTTTAAAATTGCATCATAAACTTAAATAAGTTTTTAAATTTTTTGTTTTGTATTATTTAAACATTTAAATGTAAACCAAAGGCAATAAATATTTCTTCCTAATTAATTTATTTTACTATTACCTGATCCCTTGGGGTTATTTATATCTGTTGTATCTATAATTATTTCCACTTTATCAATTAATTTGTTTTTTGTTTTTAACCTAGAGAGCAAACTGAGTGCCTCATCCATGCGTGCCAAATTCTGTTCCACTAAGCTAGGTATGCTGCAGCCTATGTTTTGTTGTTGTTGTTGTTGTTGTTGTTGTTGTTTTCTGTGAGTTTGTTTTTTTGGTTTTTTGGGGTTTTTTTTTGTTTTGTTTTGTTTTTGGTCTTTTTGAGACAGGGTCTCCTAGTAGCCCCAGCTGGCCTAGAACTCACTATGTAGACCAGGCTGGCCTTGAACTCACAGAGATCCTCCTGCCTTATAGTTTTCTTAAATCTTGATATCCTTCACGGCTTCCATATTAGAGATTCCCTAACTAATTGATGAAGGTAACAGAAACTTTTCAGAAAATTCAGTGACACCAAACTGAATTGTGTATCAGAGGGTCTAATTCCATAGGTTTATGGGTATTCTAGGAACTTACAGTTCAGCTGGGCACTGTGACACCTGTCTGTGATCATAGGAATGGGGGGACTGTGGCAGAGTGATTCATAGTTCAGGGCCAGCGTCAGCTGCCTTGTGAGTTCAAGAAACTTCCTTTTATAAATGTTTCCTGGTGGTACCAGGCATGAGCTATGTCTGTCAGTACTGTACAGCATAATTTCTTTTAATTATTTCTTATTACTTTATGTGTATGTGTGTTTTGCCTGCATGTATGTAAGTGCACCTGTGTTATGTAATGCCCACAGAGGACAGAAGAGACCATCGGATTCCCTGGAACTGAAGTTTCAGACAGTTGTTAGCTGCCTATGGTTGCTGGGATTCAAACCCAAGTCTTCTGCAAGAATAGATCGTGTTCATAACCACTGAGCCAGCTCTCCAGCCCCTATACAGCATGATTTCTAATGCTGTTGAATACTTATATTTATTGGGACAAATAAAGGAGAAAAGATCATTTTAGCAGTCTGCTTTTCATCTATTGAGTTTGAGAGCATTGTGTATCTCATGAAGGCTCTAGTAGAATTCAGTGGCACTATACTGTGAAGAACTTTTTAGTTCATCACTAATAGTTTTACTAGAAAGAAATTATCACATAATAAATTCATTTTGCTTATTCATTTTGTTTTGTTTTGCAGTGGATATTGAAGCCAGGGCCTTGCCCTTGTTGAAACACGAGCTTTAAGATTTGTCTATCATCTTGAGTTTCTGCTTTCTTGAGTAATTATTATTCTTTTTAAAAGCCTGTGTGTCTTATCAGTAGAGTAGAAATTATAGTAGATAATCTTTAAAGTCAATTTAAAAAGTTACTGTTCTTTCATGGGTTTTATTTGAGTACTAGAACTAGGAACCCAGGGCCTCTTATGCCTTCATTCACCAACTTTTCTACTTTCTTAAGTTTCAGGTCATTGATTTTTCACCCTGTTTATTTTCTGATATAAAGATTTATGGCTATATTAAATTTTCTGTAAATAATAATTTATATGCATCTCTCAGTACTTGATACATTGTTCTGTGCTTGTCTATACATTTTAATTGTCTTGTAGTTTATATTTTAAATTCTTTGATCCATGAATTATTTTGTACTTAAGGTTTTGTTTTAAGCTACCAAATATATTATGAGACTT